ATCTACTCCATTCTTGCCAACCCCCCACATTCAGCCCATACATAAATTGAAAAAAATTCAACACAAGAAAGCAAAACCTTCCATTAAGCCATAACCAATCTGCAAATACACAGAACACATATCCTAGAATAAAAGGTGCACATTCTCTTTCGCTTTTGTTCCACTCACTCCAAAATAACAATGAGCAATGCTATTCGTAACCGGTGATTACCCATCATCATCTATGTGGCAGGAAGGTAACTGCCACGTTTTCTTGGGATGCATTTTAATTCATTAGAGAATGTGGTGATGCCCCGTCACATGGACTGCTGGGTAAGTACAGTTTACAAATACCAATACTCGGTACCAATTGCACAAAACCCGCCTTTTAAAATCAAAGATATTCAAGTTTTTCAAAACAATAGTCAATCCAAATAGTCGATTTGCAGAATTACCCATCTAGTAAAAAAAATAAAATTCTGATAGAGTAATTCTTAGCAGAACAACCAAAAGATACGAACTTTCATAGTGATTACAACGAGAGAATGTCATGATGAGGCAGCAACAATTGAATGGAAGAAATGGGGGGAAAAAAAGGAAAACAACCAACCGTAACTAGCTTTCAGAAGTGGGGTCCACAACTAGCATTTAAGTGTCATTTTGCTTATTGAGTTTTTTTGTAAATGGGAAGACGATTTACAGAACAGAGGAGAAAATGAACGTGTTGTTGATGTTAAATCAGTTCTATTAATCAATTCTCTCTCTTATTTCTTCTACTCCTTCTTCTATCTTCTTTTTCTTCCTCTAACTCTATCATTACCCATTCTCAATTTAGTGGTTAATTCAGCAATTGGGCTGAGATCTTAACTCATTGAGCTGTGATTATTAAATTGGTACTAATTTTGAGTGAATTCATTCCCAGGTTGAACTTCACTCATTACAGAGAAAAATGAAAATAACTTCGATCCAAACTGAAAATATAAAACACGAGCGAAGCAATTGAAGAAAAAAATTAATTTCTAGAAGTGGGCATGTACCATCTTTGGCAATCTTGACGCCACCAAGCTTGAGAACTGATGCCGCCGGTGGCCTCCACTTCTTGTTGGGCTGGAATTCGTGAAAAGCAGAAGCTAATTGTATGCAAAGGTTTCTTCTGTAAGAGAAAAGAGAGGCCTTTGAGAAGAGTGTCGGTGTGAATGCCATGGAAGGACGCTGGTTGCTGTGGTGGATTGTTTGGAAAAGAGAGGCCTTTGAGAAGAGTGACTGTGTGAATGCCATGGAAGGACGCTGGTTGCTGTGGTGGATTGGATTCTTTGGAAAGAGAGGTGTTTGGATAAGCAAATATTATGGGCTCTCCTGTAAGCCCATCGTCAGTATTGGGCTCAGAGTTGTAAATGAGAATGATACATGTTTTGACTTTTGTATAAGGGAAAATTTCATAATTAAGAGGTTTAATTTTAGTGGAAATTACACACAACCCTATGTTTCAAGATCCAAATTCAAAAATCAGGGTAAAAGTTTAAATGTTCAAAAATCAGATATTTGATATTTTAATATTAAATATTATATATACAAATTTTACCATCAAACCCTAAAAATCATTTACCAATCTCATCTCTATCTCTCTCTTCCCGTCGCCTCTCTCTCTTACCTCTCCACCATCTCCTCTCCCCGTCGGCAGTCTCCTCTCGCCGTCGCTCTCTTCCTCTCTTTCCTCCTGGAATCATCCTCTCTCCTCATTGTCTCTCCTCTCCTCGTCGTCATCAAGCTCCGGCACGGCTGACGGCCGACCGCTCCTCTCCTCCTCGTTGCTCACGGTACGGCGCGGCTGAACTTGTTAGTCTACAGGCTGCTATAGTTCTACCGACCATGGAGGCTGGCCAGATAGGTCAGTGAATCCGAACACAAATTGCGTAGAATAGGCCAGCCTCTGTTGTGGAGGCTGTGGTGCTCCGTACGAGGTTTCTGGGTCCTTGTCCGTGGTGGATTTTCGCGATTGCCGGAGCTGCGGTGATGCGTCGTCGGGGGACCTTCGCCGGAGGGGGCTTTCTGCCTGTGCCTGGGTCTGTGATGTGTGCCCGGTTTTGGGTGCTGTTGGTGGTGGTGTTACTGTGTGTGTTTTTTTTGGTTGTTTTGTTTGTGTTTTCGTTGGTTGTATTTTCATTCTTGGCGGTGGCTGTGGTGGCGTTGATGGCGCTCGTGAGGTGTTGGTGGGGGGATTGATTTGTTGGTGGTGTTTGGGTGGTGGTTGTGGTTGTGATGTTGGGTAGTGGAGGTTGTGATGCTCGTCGCGATGGTAGTTATTGATTGTGGTTGGCGGTGGTTGGTGCTTAGTGGCGGGATGGGGGAGTGGGTGCTAGTT